GGTCGTACGTGTGAAACGTCGATCGTAGTACGGGCTAGGCAATCCGGATTTGCTAAGTGTTTAATTTATGTTTGTTTTAATATAATAAAAGTGTTTCCGACCTAAAAACCCGAGTTGAGTTTTATTTCAAAGTCTTCTTCGTTCTTACCTTTAATATTGGAACAGTGCTCAGACCCACACACCTATAGTCAATGAGGTTTATTATAAACTGAACAGTGCTCTGGTTGTGGCGTCCTAATAGTCATTCCAATTTAGGAAACGAACGAAGAACTGACAAAACGCTACCATCGTACCTCAAAGGTTAACAGTGCTAATCTGAATTTATTCTAGAGACAGTCATTAGCCTAGAGCGTACGAGGGTAAGGTAAAAAGTTGGTTTACCGCGTATTATCCAATACGGGTGATACCACAGAGTGCTCTTAATCTCGGGGTCGTGGGTTCGAGCCCCACGTTGGGCACCACAGTGACCGCAGGTGGAGTGCATACCTGATAATATACGCTTCGCATATGCTTACCTATGTGATTTGATGACTGATAGCTAGACAATAAAGTACACATATCGACTATACACTTTTTAACAATTTCAATAACCAAAAGCAGCTGACAAACGCTTAGAGATCCTGGAGATCGTATCCATTTACAATGTTCGTGACGGATTGCTAGACGCTCAAACTTTTAAACATTCCCGCCAAAGCGCCAAGCCTTATCGGGCCTCGAGTTATACTTAGAGGTAGTCTCTTATATTATAAAACGAGGTTAGTCCCCAGTTTTGTCCACGGGGATAGACGACTTTCGTGTCGTTTTTCCGGCCCGGCTGTGACGATCAGAGTTGGATGACCGTTTAACCATACTATCTGTACACCTAGGCTGTAGTGATACAAATGTTGCGTGTGCGTGCGACAGCCGACTTTGTCCCGTGGGTCCAAGTCCGCCGATCGACGACAACACATGCCGGTGCGACAACGCACACACGCTCCCCTCTTTCATCTCCATGGTCTGGGCCACGCCGACTTATGACGTGTTTAGGGATATCGGCCGATTAATTTACGTCTCCACATGCTCTCGCTCTGTCTTCCCACTCCCACTGTCTCTGTCACCCGTCGTCTTTTTCGTGCGTTTGTGGCCGAATAAGCCGACGAACTTCACTTCTTTTCCTACGCCGGTACAAGCACAATGCTAGGAGAGTAGAGCACCGCGGTCGCCGTAACGCCATCGGACGGCACTCACGACAGGAGCATGGTGGTTCGTATACTCACATTTTACTACCTATTTAGCACCGTGGCCGGTATCCCTATTGAAATTATTATTATCATTGTTATTGCCATATTTGGCTGAATTATTATTATTATTATTATTATTGCCATATTTGGCTGGTATATGTTATTGTTCTTGTGTGTGTCATTTTTATTTATTTTGTCCGAGTTTTATGCCAGCGGCTTTCTCGGCGCCCACCTTAGAGTATGAATAATATAATGTTTTTTTTTCTACCTACTTAGTGCGTTATGTTTATTCTTTCTTATCACGAGCGTTAGGATTTCCTCATTCCTGGTCTTACCAAATATAAAAATCCACGGTGCTCCGACCTTTTGGGGTCCCGGCTCGTGGTTGGCGACCTTACTCGACCACATGACTCTCGGGTCATGAGCAATATGACTCGAGTTGTCACAGATGGCGACCTTGCCAGGATATTAATTATGACTATAATTAATTTGAAAGAGGAAAAAAAAATAGAATAAAAACATGACACATAGGTAGTATGAGGTACATCACTTGTATATTATAGTGTTTGCATTACTACGGGTCCAAGTAAATATGGTTCTAAGAGTTCGAGATTGGACAGATAGGTACATGATATTATATATGTATAGGTGATATTGTTCTGAGTACGTCTAGGAAAATACCGGCCATGTTTGTAAATAGTCTACTGTCCAAGAACCACTGTTGCCTGCGTGTATTTTCAGGAATGCTCCTGGTAACAGCCCATGTATTGTGGCCGACATAATATGCTACGGGTTGATGTTGTGCTGTGCGCCCGTGTCTATGTTGAGACCTGAGGCTGTTTGCGTGTGTGCCGTATTCCGCCGTCACCGTGCTCACCGTCGCTGATGTCACGGAGTTGTCGAGCATCACGGTCACCGAAGGGGTTAGTCGTCATCGCGTTGAATTTTGGTCGGCGGCTAGTAATAAGTTGTATTTTAAGGTATATTTCTGTACACGTCGGTGTGTGTGCCTGTGTATATGTCTCGTCTCCTTTATCAGGTGTGATGATGTAACCGTACGCAAATTGAACGTATCTATCAGTTATCGGTCTACCGCCGTCTACCGTTTATTATCTATGTTTGGGTGCGTGTCGTTCCGGCGTAGCCGTGCGAACGTTCCCCATTCCCTGTCCACCGTAACGGTGTCTACGCCACGCACATAATATTATTATAATTAATTAATCATTATCCGTTCGAATAAGTTCATCGTTTATTTTTTTTTTCTTCGACCGGTTTTCGCTGAATAGCGACCGATGTGTATAATGTATATAATCATATGTAATAGGTCTCGGCATTGCCCGCCTGGCATACATATCGTAACGATGGTCATTCCGTATACGCTGTATGAATCCACGCGCAAACAGATCGCATAATATTATTACAAAGACGATGATGTCTTATTCCAATATTAAATTTTAAAATATGTTGCGAGTAGATTTTTTTTTTTTTTTAATATATCGTTAGATTTTGGTTGGTAGACCAAGACTGTATATTTTGCCCGCTAGGCCCGTACACACACTGATGGTTAGTTTTAAGCTGCACATAAGCTGTATCCCACGGTGATAATAACGCACGCACGTCACACGCACTCTAGGTAGTCACACGTCTGTGTTTTCGTTCATACGTCCCGTGTACGTACTGCTAGGTATCTCGTTATCGAGAGTAATGTGCCCACCTAGTGGGAGTGTATATTAGTACTTGATGTGGTGCATAACACCATAATCATTTAATTTTACGTTATGGTTATTACTGGTTAAATTGGTGGTTTCAGCCCCGCCGACCGCCGTGTCATTGGGTAAATTTGTTAACACTATCTTATTGTGTTATTCTTAAGTTATTTTCTATTCTATAGATTCAACACTGTTGACCAATGTGTCGTTGAATTAATTTAGTTTTCATCAACAAATTTGTCTGTTGCTGTGTATTTTTATCATATCTGTTGATGTGATTATATGTATTTACGTTTATCGTTAATCGTTATGAATGGTAAATTATATTACCGTTTTTTTTATTAATTTTCATTTTGTTCCATTCAAATATTTAAAACTATGTACCGCGCCACGGTGATTTTCAAGTATACTTGCCAACCTACTATTGTGTTCCTATGTGTCGTCCCGGCGTTCCGGCGACGATTTCCATTGATATAGTATCGTAAATTTATTTTTTGTAATACTGACATTATTTGTCTTACGACCTAAAATTTTCGTCTGCATTTTCCAAGCCTGCACTTTAGCAGGTCAATATTTATTTGTTTTTTTTTCCTGTTGAAATTCATTGTGGATTAGGGGTTCAGTTCTACGGATTGTGTTCTTTCAAGTTTCGATTGTTTGATTGTCCGTGCCTACATTTATGTACTCCGCTGGTAAGCGAGACACTCATCCGCCAGATCGTCTAATTGACCGTCTTCTTCAGCCCGATACGCCCCCAATGCCACCAACGACTACTATGTCGGAGACACCGAATAAAAACGTAACCACGGTTTCCCAAGCTGGGATGGCAACAGGGAATGTCCATCCGCAGCCTACCAAAGTTGAACCTACCCTCGCCGATCTTATCGCCATCATGAATGGTCATGCCAGTGATCAGGCACAACGGTTTGACCGTCTAGAAAATCAGTTTAGTGGTTTTACCAAACGACAAGATGCAGTTGAGTTGCGAGTGGATAAAACTGAAAAAAATATCGCCACTCTTCACCGCAACTCGATCGACCAGCGAACTGCATACACGAAATCCGATGAGAGTGTAGCGAAGATCCACGTCGACGTCGAATCCCTTAAGGAAACTGTAAAACAGATACAATCCGATTTAAAGGTACTTTCGATCCACTCTACATCTCAAGCGCAATCATTCCAGCCGATATCCAATTCGACGGAGGCACATATCAACTCTCGACAATTACCAAATTCGTATGGCCAGTCTTTTGTGTCTGCGTCAGTTAGTCAATCGGAACGGTTCACTGATGCCGTGTCCGAGTTCACTGGCCGTCGTCAGGATGTGCACCCAGAGAAGTTCTTAAACCAGTTGGACCAATACTTCTTGTATAATTGTCCACACGATGATCAACGTGTCGAACTTTTTCAACGGCGGTTGACCAGTGGTTCACGAGTATGGTTTGATTCACTTATGCCTGTTCCAACCACCTATGAGGAGGTGAAGAAGCTGTTCCGCCAGCAGTTTTGGTCTGCGGCCACACAAAGAAAAATTAGGAATGAAATTTTCCAACCCTGTCAATACCGTTCACCAGTGGGGATCAACACTCATGCCATGACTTGGATTGCTAAAGCTAAATACTTATCCCCACCCATCGACCAATTTGATCTTGTTGGCATAATCATACAGCATTATCCGTCTACGTTGGGGATGGCCATCCGTGGCCGGGGGCCACAAACGACGAACGCCTTATTGTCCGTATTGACAGAGATTGAGGAATCCACGTCCTTCTGCGAGGCCCCAGGGTCCCGTCAGTCAGACCATGGCCCAACTCAATCAGCACGGAACCATGACCAACCACCACGAGATCCTCAAGAGCGGAGAGGATATCAGCCACGTAATAATAATCGGAATAACTACCGAAACGGTCCAAATCGAGGACCCCAAAATGATCACCGTCCTCCGGCTCGAGACGAAGAACCGATTCATCAGCTGAACGCTTCGGGAAACGAACCACAGTCTCGCCAGTGAATATGGCACCTGACGAGACTGGATCGTCAACCGATTGCCATCCACCGATCACCAATTCAAATGAATTCCAGGGACATGTTCCACACCGTCCGGAAATTCCCGTCGAGGTGTGTGGTGTGTCTGGTTCTGCCTTGCTCGATTCTGGAGCATCCGTTTCGGCCATATCCGAAGAATTTTTTTGCTACCATCAAGAACCGGTCCCCTACCAATAAGATTTTGTCCATCTTACCTGTAACCGGAGTTACAATCTCAACAGCTGTGCGTGGGCGGAGCAAGAAAATCACGAAGCAAGTCTTCATGCCACTGGTCTTGTTCGAAAAAGACGCCCCAGGTGTTTTCCTCGTCGTCCCACATCTTGCTACCCCCATCATCCTTGGAGATGACTGGCTATCGAAATACGGAGTTGTTCTTGATTATTCTGGACACTGCATCAAATTTCCTCAATGGGGAAAAGAATATTCATTCAAGGGCGACGATGGAGATGTTCCAGCAGCCCATATTACCCGTATAAATGTCCATTATACTACCGAACACGTCGTGCCCACTGGATTGGAACATTGTCTCTCTAGTATGGATAGTTTGGATAGATTTTCATCACCACCTCGGAATTTGGAAATTAACTGTATTAACAACCACGTATGTCCCAGAGATCCACTATCAAATCGGCTCAACGAACTCATGGCGAATGGCGCTGAGATTACGGTCGAACAACAACAAGGTCTATTACGTCTTCTCCAAGAATTCACTCACATTTTTAGTGACCGTCCTGGACTGAACCAGCTCTATATGTGCCGTTTCACCGTATCACCGTTCAAGATTCGCCCATACCCTGTGCCTTTTGCCAGACGACCCGCGGTAGAGAAGGAACTCCAAAGGATGCTGGATTGGGGGGTTGTTGAACGATGTTCATCACCTTACAGTAACCCAATAATCTGTGTAGGAAAAGCCGATGGGTCCGTGCGGCTGTGTTTGGATGCTCGCCGCATTAACAAAGTTATCCTTCCGATGCGCGACTCATCTCCGCCTCTCAATGAACTACTTGCACGTTTTGGTGGAAAGTCCATATTCTCCAGTGTCGATTTTACTGCCGGATATTGGCAAGTGCCCCTACACCGGGAGGTCCGTAAATATACAGCATTTGTCTACGACGGTCGGACATATCAGTTCACGGTCGTCCCGTTTGGTTTGAACATCTCCAATACCGCGTTCGGTCACGCCCTCGAAGCCGTCCTTAATGTGTCGCTCCCAGACTGTGAAGACAAGATGAACGATCTACATATATACGTCGACGATCTACTAGTATCATCATCCAATTTCGATGAACACCTCCAACGCCTCCGTATTCTTTTCCGGAAAATCGCCATGTCGGGCATGACGCTGAAGCTCACTAAGTGTGAATTCGTCAAACAGCAAATCAAGTTTCTGGGCCATATTATTAGTTCGTCCGGAATGTCCATGGACCCTGAGAAGCTAATGGCCATCCGCAGCTTTCCCAAGCCACGTACAAAAAAAGAATTACAGTCGTTCATTGGTTTCTGCAATTTCTACCGGAAGTTCGCTGATCACCACGCCTCGTTAATAGCTCCTTTGATCAATCTCATTAAGCAAGGTGTGCCGTGGAAGTTTGGAGAAGAGGAGCTCAAAATGTTTGACCGCGTGAAGCAATCGTTTACCGAACAGTACCTCTCGCACCCCTTGTTCGATCAGGTATTTTACTTGCAGACCGATGCCAGTAAACTCGGGTTGGGAGCTGAGCTGTTCCAACTTACGTCTGACGGAGAACGCCGAACGATTTTGTTCGCCAGCCGAACTCTGAACTCTGCGGAACAGAATTACTCCATTACCGAGTTAGAACTCTTGTCGGTGGTGTTCGCTTGTGAAAAGTTCCGCGTATTTATTCTGGGATATCCTGTTCAGGTGCTCACGGACCACCAAGCGTTGACCTTTCTCTTCCAGTGTCGTCTGAGGAATGCGCGTCTTACTCGTTGGACACTACTTTTGCAACAGTTTGATTTGCGGATCACCTATATTCCCGGGCCTGATAATATTCTGGACGCGTTATCGCGAAACCCAGTAGGACGGAATGACGAGGTATCCAGGTCACTAAGTGGTCCCAGTATTCTACTAACCACCCCTATAAGCGTTCGTAAAGAACGTGATCGACAACTACCGTGTTTCCAAGCTATATTGTCCTCGCAAAGAGACGACCCACCATTGAAGAAGATTATAGATCTCCTTAACGGAGACAGTCTAGAGGCCTGGCCACAAAGTCAGTACTACTGCCTTGTTGAAGGTGTTCTTTTCTACCGTCGCCACGCAAGCAGTGACCAGTGGTTGGTCTGTGTCCCAAACCATCGAATCGATGAACTCATCGTTTCAGTACATCACCACTTCGGGCACGTCGGGCCAAAGAAATGTATTTTAGCTATTCGAGATTTCTGTTTTTTCAAGCACCTCCAGACCCGTGTACGTTCAGTGATACGCGCGTGTGATTTATGTCAACGAACCAAGGCATCTACTCAACGCCAAGAAGGTGAGCTGAAGTCTGTCCTTGCCGACGTTCCCCTTGGTCGCGTTCTGGTTGATTTGTACGGTCCACTTCCTCAGGGTTGGAATAACGTACGATACGTTTTTGTGGTCTTAGATAATTTTTCTCGATATGTCCGTTTGTACGCAATAAAGAAGGCCACTGCAGTCACGGTTACGAATCGGATGATCAACGATTACATCGCCACGTACGGTAGTCCAAGGTGTATAGTGTCAGATCACGGCGCCCAGTTCACTAGCAAGGTCTGGCAGAACCGCCTTCGGGAGAGAGGAGTACCTCCAACGCTGACTTCAGTATACCACCCTCAGTCTAACCCGGCCGAACGAGTTATGCGGGAACTCGGGAGGATGTTTCGAACTTACTGTAATCAAGATCATGCTGAGTGGCCAAGACACCTTGGATACATTGAATGGGTACTGAACAACACTGTGCACGAAGCTACAGGGTATACGCCGCAAGAACTGTTTCTCACCCTCGAACGATACAACCCATTTAGTGCTGTAGTCTCTTTTCCACTCAGGGCCGCACTATCTCAGCAAACAAAAATGACTCTGGCACGTGAGGTTCAGCAGTCCCATGCTGAGCGACGACGTTTACGTCATGATCAACAGGGTCGAGTGACAAATTTTGTTGTCGGAGATCGTGTATTGGTACGAACACATCGTTTGAGTTCTGCAGTCGATAAGCAAATCCACAAATTCTTTTTGCTGTATCAAGGACCATACGTTGTTGTGCGCGTTTCGTCACAAAATGCTTACACGGTAGCCGACGTAGAAACAAACCGGATTATAGGGACCTATAACATAATACACTTGCGTCGGTACATCACACCCGGACCGGGTCCACTTCAACCGGCTGAAGTCACCGAGGTCCCCCAACGCACACTATCGTCATAGTCAAACACGTCACCCACGTCATGTTCTGTTTTCAGTGTAGAAGTTCGTTCCCACGGGTACCAACTTCTACAGGGGGGTTTCTGTGACGATCAGAGTTGGATGACCGTTTAACCATACTATCTGTACACCTAGGCTGTAGTGATACAAATGTTGCGTGTGCGTGCGACAGCCGACTTTGTCCCGTGGGTCCAAGTCCGCCGATCGACGACAACACATGCCGGTGCGACAACGCACACACGCTCCCCTCTTTCATCTCCATGGTCTGGGCCACGCCGACTTATGACGTGTTTAGGGATATCGGCCGATTAATTTACGTCTCCACATGCTCTCGCTCTGTCTTCCCACTCCCACTGTCTCTGTCACCCGTCGTCTTTTTCGTGCGTTTGTGGCCGAATAAGCCGACGAACTTCACTTCTTTTCCTACGCCGGTACAAGCACAATGCTAGGAGAGTAGAGCACCGCGGTCGCCGTAACGCCATCGGACGGCACTCACGACAGGAGCATGGTGGTTCGTATACTCATATTTTACTACCTATTTAGCACCGTGGCCGGTATCCCTATTGAAATTATTATTATCATTGTTATTGCCATATTTGGCTGAATTATTATTATTATTATTATTGCCATATTTGGCTGGTATATGTTATTGTTCTTGTGTGTGTCATTTTTATTTATTTTGTCCGAGTTTTATGCCAGCGGCTTTCTCGGCGCCCACCTTAGAGTATGAATAATATAATGTTTTTTTTTCTACCTACTTAGTGCGTTATGTTTATTCTTTCTTATCACGAGCGTTAGGATTTCCTCATTCCTGGTCTTACCAAATATAAAAATCCACGGTGCTCCGACCTTTTGGGGTCCCGGCTCGTGGTTGGCGACCTTACTCGACCACATGACTCTCGGGTCATGAGCAATATGACTCGAGTTGTCACACGGCCAATCGCAACGTTCAGATTCTGCGGCGGGCAATAACCGCGTTATCACTTCTTTTCTTATCATTTTCGAAATTTTCGAAATTTACACTTTTTACACGATTTCGACCGTTTTCTAGCCTTTTTCGCTCATATTCATATTTGATTCGCGTAGCTCGCGATCTCTCGAAGCCGCCGGTGTGCGGTTTATATCCGTTCGCCGTCCGTAGCCGTCGCAATGTCGATCGCAAAATACGCTCCCGGCCGGACTTTTTTGCCGATTTCTTTCGTTTTCTCCGACAGTTTCGTCTTTTCGCACGTCGTTCGTGCCCGAATCGTGTAGTTGACGTCTTTCTAAAGCCGTATATATACGCTTTTCTTACGAAATCGGTCGGTTCGCTTCGCAATCGCGTTTAGAAATTACGACCGACCGTACGCGTATATATACATGTATGTACGTGTATAATTTAATTTTTCCCTATTGATTTAAATATTTATTAACGGAAATGCTTTTCACTCGCTCCGTTAAATATATATATGGGAGATGCGCGTATTACAAGCGAATTATATGCGATTACATCGATGAACATCGAATATATCGGCTTACGTCGCTCCGTAGACGCACGGCTTAAGTGTTGATGTTTTGACCGTAATTCATATCTCAAATTGTGTCCGAGTAGGTTAGGCGTTAGGTAGATTACACGTAGGTCCCGGGTTCGAATCCCCGTCGTACGCTCTCGGGGCGTCGTTGTGGTCATTTCCATATGGTTTACACGGCCGCCCGAATCCCGAATATTTTTTGCATTTTTTTCCCGTAAATTTACAATTTTCCGATCTTTTCTCTTTACTATTATTATTATTTTAACTTTACTTTGTGTATGTACGTTCAATTTTTGTTAATTAATCTACCATATTTCATTTTTTATGTATTAATATTATATGTATTTATCAGACTTGGGTAGTATTCCGAATACAGTATTCGGAATACTATATTCGGAATACTTTTTAAGTATTCTGAATACTTTTTAAATACTTTTTTTTAATGCATTCAATACGGTATTTTGAATACTTTTTACGAGTATTCGGAGTACAGTATTCGGAATACTTATTTTTTTTATATAGGTATAATCTAATATATTACTGATTATTACTTATTAGTTATTAACTATATTAATTTGAATATAATTTATAACTAATAGATAGCCAGATAATTGTGTATTATCGAGATTATAATAATGTTCAATTATAAACAAAGAATTAAAAAAAAATTATATTTTTGTTATTGAAATCTAAATCTACTAAAAAAAATATCCGAAAAATATTTGGAATACTTTTTGTGAAGTATTCCAAATACTTAGGAATATTATTATCATAAAGTATTCGAATACATACTCTGAATACTTTTTTTTAAGTATTCGGAAAATGTATTTGAAATACTTTTAAAAAGTATTTTACCCAAGTCTGGTATTTATGTAGGTAAGCATGTTTTTTTTCGATTTTCTTACGTTATTTTACAAGTTATAGTTACTGGTTTTTTTAAATTTTTATAATATTACTTGACTGTATCTATGAATATTTTTACTACTAAATTTTTATACCATTATATTATGTCATGTCCCTTCATCGTTGTATTTTAACTATTGTATTTTTACCTGATTAATTGTTTATTTAAAAAAAAAGTATAATGTCATGTACATAATTGTAATTTAACTATTCCATTTCTTACTAATTGCATGCCTGTATATAAAAAAATATATTATAATGTGTATAAATGTAATTTAACTATTAAATTGTTTATATAGAAAAAATATACCTAATATTAAGTACATAATGTAACTTAACTATTGCATTTTTAACTAATTATTCTAAACACGGTTTTATGTATTCATTACGGTTTTACAATCACTGTCAATTCATTTGTTTGTTTGTACAAAATATATCTTATCATTGTAGGTACTACTATTTCAACTATGTAACCAGGGCCGGATCTAGGGGGGGGACTGGGGAAGTCGGGGATTTATCCCCGGGCGTATAATTTTCGTGGGCGTATTTTTAAGGTTTTAAATATTTTGTAAATTGAAAATTGAAAATTGACTTTAAAACAAAAGTCAAAACTAAGTTCAAAATAATATTTCACAAGAAATGTGTAATATTGGGTATGTGAATAAAATAAAATAATTTTATTTTTAATTGAGATTAGTAATAACTAATAACATTGATTTAAATATTAAAAAGGACAAATATGAAAAAAGGTAAAAAATAGATAAAAATATAAAATAAATAAAACCCGTCCGCAACTTACTGTCAGCGGGAGTGTACATGCATTAGTCTATCATAAATAAATTAATGTACTCTCCGATTAGTGACATAATAAAGTATGGTAAATTACATCATTTTCTTGCATATAATATAATATTATGTAGATAGTTGTTTAAAACCTTAATCTTAAAAATCACACTATTAATTGTAATTCATTGTTATGTGATTTTAAATTAACAACTATACATTTTTCCAAATAGGTAGGTACTGCATAAAATTATGTACTACATAAAATGTTACTTAGGTACTAATGATTTAATTGTTTTCAGATTATTTATTAAATTACACGTTCGTACCTAGACTTATAAAAGTCTTTGTATTTAACAACAAATGCCTTTTTATAAACTGAACTTTTTTATAAATATCACCATGGCCACTAGATAAATGTAACAGAACACAAAATGGAATATAATTTGTCATTTGTGTTTGCTTTTTAGTTTTTAAATAGGTACAAGTATACAACTATTAATTTACTTGATAAACTTGATACTACAAAAGTACAACATAATTAAATGATTAAAACAAAAATACTATCCTATTGATTGTAGCTCAAGACAGATTGAATATTATGTTTTACATATTATATTAAAATAATTTAAAAGGACATTTATATTCTATTTGGTTCGTTTTTTTTTTTATTATAAACTGTGTTTTTTGTCTAATTTATTTTTATAGTTCAAGATGTTAAACAGACAACCAGGTCCTTATTATTCTGGAAATTTTTAAAATGTAGAATGTAGAATGTAGTTATTTTATTATATATAGGTACATTCAATCCATAAGTGATAATCCATGATAAATATTTCTTTGTCGTGTTATAATCATTATATTACAATTTTCAGTACATAATTACATTTTTGTTTCATTGTATTTATTCCGTACCTAGGTACATATTATTAGTTTTGATTGTAACAATTATTAAAAATGAAAATGTATAATTTTGATAGGTATGTTGTAAATTAAATATTGTTCTTTTACATAAAGCGTCCTATATTAAAAGTAAGCAATGGATACCTAATTTAGATTTGTTAATAAATAATTCATACATGTTATTATTATCAATATTATTTATTCTAAACCTGGAACTTAGAAATATTGACCACAGATTTTAGCTTTAAATACACCATTAAGAAGTGCTTCTAAAACTATATTACGTGAATAGTTTAAAATTTAAAATGTTTCATTTTTAAGTTAAAATCGCTCAAATTATTTGTGGTAAATAAATGATCATAGGCGCACATTGGGTGTGAATTTAGGGGGTGCTGGAATAATTTATGATTCACAGATCCGTGGGGGGCTTTGCCCCCCACACAACCCTAAATCCTAATATTTCTGCATTGCATTAGATTTAATTTGTATAGTGTATTCAATAATATCTAAAGTGCAATGTATCAAATAGTCTGTATGATTGTACAGAAGACGCTAGGTACACCAACATGTGTTGTCTCCGTATTACAAACGTAGGTACAACATAGGCAAAACTGTTTTGCACGGGTATAAAAAACTTTAAGGCTGTACTCTAAGCTAAGAAAGTAAGAAACTAAATGTTCACACTATAAATATGAGAAAATTTACTGTGTAACTTTGTTTTATATTTCATAAAATTTGAAAACAATATATTAGGAGCCTTCTATTACATTTTTAAGCTTTTATACCCAACAAATAAAATTTTATTGATACTTATAGAAAAAAAACTAAACAAAATGGAAACTAAAAATGTCCATAAAAACCTCAAAATAACTCAAAATATTTAGAAAATTTTATCATGCATAG